CCCAAGCAGGAGCCGCAGCAGAGCCGCGCGCCGGGGGGCAGCCGCCTGATGGAGACCATCCCGATGATCCCCAGCGCCAGCACCTCCCGCGGCTCCTCCTCCCGCCAGTCGAGCACCGCCGCCAGCTCCAGCTCCAGCGCCAACTCGGGGGCCAGGGCCCCCCCCACCAGGTCGCAGACCAACTGCTGCTTGCCGGAAGGGACCATGAACAACGTGTACGTCAACATGCCGACAAACTTCTCGGTGCTGAACTGCCAGCAGGCTACGCAGATCGTGCCGCACCAGGGGCAGTACCTGCACCCGCCGTACGTGGGCTACGCGGTCCAGCACGACGCCATGCCCCTGCCTGCCGTGCCCCCTTTCCTGGATGGTTTGCAGAGCGGCTACAGGCAGATCCAGTCTCCCTACCCGCACGCCAACAGCGAACAGAAGATGTATCCAGCTGTGACTGTGTAGCTCCGAAGGCCTTCCTCCCCACCCCAGCAGATTTTAATATCTAAACTGAACAGAGGAGAAATACTTCCTTGGAATGAAGCTCCCAGGACATCACTTGTAAATAATTTTGAAAGGCTCATGCATGTCAGGCAGTGTTTATAAACCATTTATTTTCGTCGGGGTCCGCTGCCAGAAACTGTAGGATGATATCTCTGAATTAACGTTTCCAGATACGCTTTCATTCCAGTGCATGATTTACAGTGGCAAAGGATTACACTGAAAATGCATATGCATTTCAGATAACTGTAATTGTGAGATAAATGCCGGAGCCATTAAGTGCCCTTCAGGTGTGACGTGGTCAGAAGTATTTGCCTAATTAATTCGTAGAAAGAGTTTGGTTACACTGTACAAGACCATAGTACTTAAGAAACCTCTCTTCCCCTCTCCTTTTCCAATTCCTTAATGACATTTCACGTTGCTTTACAGACAATCACAAGTGAAAGCGAAACAGTGCAATCGTTGTACGCTAGGTTCTCGGTATCAGCGCCTACGGTTTCTTAGGCACCCTAGGTTCAGGGTGAAAAGCCGCATTATACTTAGTCTTGCAAAGAACAATTTTCCCTGTCCCTTGTATTTATGTAGGAATTAGCAGAGTATGAATTATTCAGCACTGCTTTTGGTGCACTTGAAACCCTTCTTGATTTGATTTTTGTCTCAAGATCAGGAACTAGTAGTGGTTTGCACAGGCTTTGTTTTTCTTTGTGAACTTTTTAATAAAAACAGGGTATGAGGTACTTGCTCTTATTGGCACTCGGCACAACTGTTGATACGGATATCACCATGTCTGAGCTGGAACAAAGTCTGCAGAGAAGGGTCATATAGTGACTTCAAATATGCCTAATTTAACCCTATTTCCCATGAAATAGCACATCTGTGTGTATATGCCCGAACGTGTTAGACCTGAAGCTCACGGCTGGTTTGTAATTGAGTCTCCCCATAGGAAAATGGGGTCCATTCCTCCGCCGGCCTGTTCTGAAGCCCAGAACCTGATCCCACAGGGCGGTTGTGATGGTAAGAAAACGCCACCCCACACCGACCTTGGAGGAGCTTGCGGAGATTTTATATCCTTCCCATTTTTTCTTTTTCTTGCTTGGGGTGGAAAGACTTAACTTTTTTTTTTTTTCTTTTTAAAAAAGCATTGAGAATAACAAAACTGGCCCAACCAAAGAATCAAAGTTCTGAGAACTTTCTGTTTTGTGCAGTTGTTCCACAAATGCAGTGTATCTGCACGGTGCGAGCAGATGGCATGTTGCGGGGAGTGACTTTGCACTAAAGCTGCTGGCTCCATTTGTTCTGCTTTGTTTGGGGAAAAGTATCTCTCGAGTTTAAAGAGGCGACAGTGTACTGAAAATAATCAGACTGTGCTATTTGTAATATATCACCCCAGACTTTTTTTCTAAACAAACCTAACAGTCTCTAAGCCTGTTTTTTGTCTTTTAAAAAATTTTTTGCCCTCTGCATTTCAATCCAGTTGTTCTTCTGATTAAATACTACAACAGAAGAATAAGGGCATACGGAAACCGGGCAATTACTGTAAGCAGACCAGAACTGATAAAAGGTTTCTTATTGTCTGATACTGTATCAGTATGTAGCAATAACTGTGATACTACTATTTTTTATATGTTTGTTTTAAAATTACACATACTTGTGGAATCTTTGCCAGATCTAATGGTTTACTTGTAAACATGCCACACACACACAAGCAGTCTACAGAAGGAAGAAATGTTTTTGACCACAGAAATAGGAAAATGAATAGGTAATTTGTACCAGATCTGCTGCTGCTGGCTGCCATCTCGCCATTCAGTATGTATGACCTTTACAAAAAGCTTGGCTCACTTTTGGCTAGAAAAAAACTGGGCTTGATCTCCAGACATGCTCGGCATCTTCTGCAAAGCCGAGACACAGCTTGCTGGAAGTGTTTAGTTGCTGGCCTGCTCTGTGTTACGGGGGCTACGGGCTAGATAGTTTGAATCAGTTAAATGCCTGACGATACAGCTAGGCACCTAATGGGATATTAAAATTCTGTGGCTGTATCAGAATTGGGTACTCCCATGCTTTTGAAGGACCTAATACCCACTCAGGTCTCGTGGAGGTTTAGGTATCAGAGTACTTAAACTGCATGTGAAAGTAGGACTGAACCAGCACAGTTATTTTGGCCCTGCAAAGCTCATTAAAAAAACGGGGGGCCTGGGGGCCTCCAGTTGCTGGTGGTTTCAGCGGGAGTTGGAGATGCTCAGCCCCAAATGCTATCAGGCCTATTGTTCCTTTGCCAGAAGACAAGCCCATAAAGGACGTTAGCCTTTTCCAACTGCGACCGAAGTCCGCTCTCTTTCTGTCTCCGGGAAGGCGCTGCATTCATTGCACATGCCCTGGTAAGGACACCTGCTCTGGCTTACAGACTTCAGGTGAAACTCTTTGTACATTGTTTACTTGTTTTAAAAAAAAAAAAAAAAGAATAAGTTAAATTTAAGTCTGTAGAAACTGATTTAACGTTGAAGGGGGAAAAAAACCTGAGTTGTAATAAAAGGAAGTTTGTGAGATGTGGTGTTTTTTTTAATGTCCTGTATAATAATGTGAAACCAATGGTAACATTTGATATAGCCTTTAAATCTCTGAAAGGGCACTTGGTTTTGAAGTGTTTCTTACAAATGAAGAAAAAAGCCCCTTTGTTTCTTAATAAATACTTCATGGTGTGACTTTTTGGGGGGGTTGCTCTGTCGTAGTGATTTTGTTCTTCAGTTGGTGCCTTACTTTCCTCTGTTAAGCACTGGGATGTTGCTCCACAAGAGCAGACCTGACTACCCAAGTCCTGCAGACTCTGGCAAAGCATTTTTAAATGTGGATCTGGGGCCTCCTGAGCCAGCAATACCTTTGGGATTAAAGGCTGCGATAGCTGCTTTGGCTGGACAGGGAGCCTCAACGCGGAGCTGTTGAGACGAGCTGTCTTTGGCCGACGCTGCTTGCAGTATGTTGGGGAGGAGAACCGCCGCCGGCTGCGGATACATAGCAACTGGAACACAGATTTGTTTTTTTGGCTTCAGGAAAAGATTGTCAGCATCCCCCTTTCCTAGTACCTCCAGTTACTCGGGAGCAAAAGATGTTCAGAGGATTTTGCTTTTAGAAATGCTAAGCTTTTCTATCTAATGATTCATGCTGAGCTGCTGTGCTGTTCCCACTTCCTTCTAAACTGAGACTTTTTCACTCGAGCAAAATTAGTTCTCGTAAGTGAAACAAAACCCGGTTGTGCCGGTGGCGTAACTTGGCAGGCTGGCGGGC